TAGAATGTTGGATTTATGTATATCTGACATGGAATGTGTAATTTCGCGAGAAACCCAACCTTTAATTGGAGAGGATGGTTTTCATCCTTCACTAGTAGCATATGCAAAAAATGTTGTCGTAGTATGTATCATTTTAATGAGTTTAAACGTTTGAGAATTATTGTTAAAACAGACATTTCAGTTGCTTATAAAAATTATCTCACTAACATTCAAATAAATTTTAAACATGATCCGAAAAGTTTTTGGTCATTTGTTTAAAGTAAAAAACGCAGTTCGCGAATACCAAATGAAGTTTTCTTGGATAATGATCAATATAATGATCTCAACGGTATAGTAAATGGTTTTGCCAAATTTTTTTCCTCTGTTTTTGCCACCGATGATACATATATATGCATTAAATCTATCAAATTACATCGATCAATTCTAGTTCTACCTTAATTCAGTTTACTGAAAATGATATTCGCACATCTATTTTGAAGCTGAAAAACAAAATGACATGTGGAGATGATCAAATTCCCAGTTTCCTAATAAAGGATTGCTCGGGAGTTTTAATTACACCACTACTACAACTATTTAATCTTATAGTCGCTTCAGCAACTTTTCCCGATATTTGGAAAATAACAAGAATATGTCCTATACTTCATTCATTTGATGAATTATCGTCCTATTGCAATTTTATCCAACTTATTAGTTCATTCTAAATTAGAATACTGCAGCCTTATATGGTACCCTTACTACCAGATACATACTAACAAGCTTGAAAAAGTTCAACGTCGCTTTCTTAAATTTAAGCTTTCGAATTGATGATTATTATCCAAATAGAGGATTTGAATATAGGCTGCTGTTAGATCGATTCAAAATGCAGTCGTTGCAGAACAGAAGAATACTCAATAGTTTATCTTTCCTATTTAAACTTTTTCATGCCAGAGTTGACAGCATATCTACTGAGTTCTTTCAATATACGAGTTCCTATACATGGGTCTCGTGCTGATTCCATGTTCTATTGTGGGAATACTTCTTAAATCTCCCATCTATGTCATGGCAAATAATTATAATTTAATATATACGCAGTGTGATATAAACCACTGTACCATAAATAATTTGCTATCTGTAGCAACTCAATTTTTTAATTTAATAGTTTTAATTGATATTGTAGAAACTAGAACGTATTTTGTAGTTTATATATCTATTTGTATTTATTTAGAACTATGATTTTTATATAATTTTAGTGTTTTGTACTTGAACGTCTATCCTTTTTTGTCCTGTAATTGGAACATTCGTTCTGTTGGACAATAAATGCATTATTATTATAAATGCATTATTATTATAATTTTGTCCACCGACGTGTCAACGCATTTGGGCCGGTCTTACTCAGTTTCTACGAACTAACACAAATGTCCTGTTTCACCATAGCACAAATGTTTCACCATAACACAAATGTTGTCTTGCTTCATCATAAATTAAAACGATATCCATCAACTCCGAGTTGCTATACAGGCAAGCCATTTTTGACACTAACTACTAAAAAACTATTGTAAACACTAACGCAACGACGATTGTAAAATCGGATTTCAGTATTCGGAGTCACTGAGGCCACGTGGCTCTCCACGCGTATTGCGACTGACGCTAAAGACTCCAGTTGTCCAGTACTACAACTTCAATATTTTTTTCTCGGAAACTATAAGGATTTTACAAAAATATTTTTTACGATATGGCTAATGCCCCATCTATTCCCAAATTTTTTTGGATACGTTGTGAATCATCCTGTATAAAACCAATTTAGAGGACTTTTTCTCATTCTCATTTTCGTCATTTTTTATTCAGACTTGGTTTTTAATTAACTAAATATTGAGTGCAAAAATAAATCACTTATAAATGATTAATTGGGATATAGTGTTGAAATTAATTCACTTCGTAGGGACCTCCTCCTGTCCTGACTGAGACCCGCTGCCACCTGCTAAGGCCTATTCTCCTGGCGATCACGCTTTTCTGAAGCATCTAACGGGCCCCTATCAACTGTGGTCGAAATTACAGAAGCAATATGTAAGTGGCGCCATCTTCACGGCGCCACTCAAATTACTCGAAATTGATATTTAAACTCAGTCAGTAATGAGGACATTTAATCTGATTTAGGTACAAGTGCACCAAATACGAGTTTACATGAAGAATTTATTTAAGGAGTACCTATATTTGAGTGAAAGTGCTCAGTTTTAGTTTAAATATACATAATTACAAATGAGTAAAATGATTTAATCATTTTACTCATTTGTAAGTAATATTGAGTGAAAATGTACTCAATAATTTCACTCAATTTCACTCCGAACCTTTATTGCTTTCAGTCACACCGATTTTTTTACAGTATATGTGGACCATCATTTTCTTCCCTTTGGGAAATTTCCGGGTCATTTTCGCAAGCTTTATTTTTATATATTGTTATGAAATATAATATTGTCAAAGTTGTGGTGAAATAATATTTTTGCCAAAGTTGTGTTTGCTTGTGTTGTGTTCTTTGTTTTATTTGTGTAAATATTTTTTTTATGTTGGTTAGCTGCTGATTGTTAAATACAAACCTTTCTTTGTCTCACCATGTACTTTACCTGTTCCCTTGCCAGCTGATGTTAGATGCTTGTTTTATTGTTAGTGGTCTTAGGAGTCGGTTCTATTAAATTTTAATACACAAACAAGTACAATGCAATACACCAAAAAAAAAAAAAATAGAAATTAAACTTTAATACAATCTTTATTCCAAAAATTTTGTGGGTGCAACTTGTAACTCAAATTGTGAATATCTTCCTTAACAATAATAAAGAATATTTTATAAATTTTGTTGTCTTATCTAATCTAATACAATTAATTACAATACAAGGATTGTTTTTTTTTAATTCAAGAAAAATTTTACTTCATTAGCAATTAATTTAAATTATTCAATTTTGAATTCATCTCTTTGTATTACATTTTGCCTATCTTACAGGGCATAATGACAGAAAATTCAACTCTAATTAAACATGGCTGTCCCTATTGATAAATTTGTGAAGTTTTTAAACATATGATTGATTTACTTGTATTTATTTTTATTCAGGTAAGTTCTATAGTTTATTCTCCATCCTTTTTCTAAGGTTTGATGCGATAGAAAAGGATTATTTATAGGTTAAAGCTATATGTTTTGTTTATAATGCACTTTATTTTTATTTTAGGTAGGTACCTGGAATTTGCTAACTTGAATTTTTTCTTGTTGGAAGCTACGTAGTATAGTCCTGTATACCATTTATGGGACCACTGGAAACCTCTCTGGACTGCTTACAACTGGTAACGGAAATTTTCTTTTTGATGGCAAATTTCTTTCTTGTGGTTTTGAGAACAAACAAACTTTTAACTTTTCTGGTAAGTTTAATTTTCTTACTTGACTATTTCTTGTACAAAATTAAATTTCTTGGAGCTGCCTCTCTACTCTGCATTCTCCAAAAACCCAAGCCGTAACCAACCAATAAACTTTTGTTTTTCATCATTTCTGGATTTTTCTGGTCCTATTTTTGCTTAAGGTCCCTTCACAGAATTTTCAGTCCTTGGATGTCCTTTTTTAACGACACTTTTTCACTACACTCCTTATAACTAATAAATTTTTTACAAATGTCCTTTTATTTTAACATACAATTCTATCACTAATTATTAAAATATTCCTTATTTTATGTTTCTTTATAGGTCATCTCCAGGTACTTGTAAAGCCAACTTTAGTTTTGACATTTGTGAAAAATTATAATTTAATTTGATAACTGATAAAAATTTTCATACTATGACTTAAGTTCAATTGAGATATCTTCTATGCAGTTACTCGTCTTCCCAGGATTTGTATACCAGATTCATTTATAGATATTGGGCTTTTATTTGATATACGTCACTCTAGGTTTAAATTCTGTTTTCTCAATGTACTGAGTGTTAACAAGTGTCGATGTCATGCATTCTTTTGAAAAATTTATTTTGTACTTGTGAATTAAATTAAAATGATAAATTTTATACTATGTGATATCCTTAATTGTTACTTATTTTATATTCAGAATCTTTATATTAATAATTTTATACTATTTTGTTGTTGCTATAATAATAGTTAATTTTTATATATGATCCAAAGTTCGGTCAGGTAATTTTTCATTCGTGATTCTTTGTGTACACTTCCAATTCGTTACAATTGATAATATATAGCAAAATGAACGGCACACTCCCGGGTTACAATTAAGCACAAAAAATTATAGCCGCATAAGCAAAACTTACTGTACATGTTAGTTGAAACATAAGAAGCTTAGAAAATATCGTCTGCAGCCTAAATTCCACAATAAAACTCATCTGCCACCCACATAAATAAGCGTAAAAATATATAAAAAATTATACCCGCAAATATGAAATTGATTACAATGCTTCTTTTTATAATAACAAACATAAAAATAATAGTCTACCATCTTTAAGATACAACGAAAGTCGTCTGCTAAGGCTATGAAGTTGCCCTGCCTCACCCACCGAGCGCTCTACTTCTACCCTCAGGAACAAAAAGAAACTAAATCGACCTTCAAATGACCCTCAAGATTAAATCCAAGATTACCGATCCCGAACATCCTTAGAAACATAATGGTAGATTTCTGTCGTTTTCGCTGTGACATTGAGTTTGACCGCAAGGTCAAAGTTGAGATCACATCCGGATGTAACATTTTCTGCCGAATTCAGTCCCAGGGTAAAAATAGAGGGTCCCATTTAAAATTATGGTGTTGACCATCAATTGACCTTCAAGGCCACGATTAAGGTCAAATGCAACGTCATCGTGCATCGATTCAAATGGGACACATGGTACACTCATAAAAAATTGTGTAATATCCTGTCATTGCTACATAAGTTAACACAAAATTACCTTATTCACAAAAGAAAATGTTACATTGTCTGTCCATTGTTTAAAACTGTCATTAATATTTATAATGGAAAACATATTAAAACAGTAAAGTCGTGTATGGTTATTATTTTTTATTATATACGCAAATACAATGATTAACTAAAAAATTTACAATTCGTTTAAATAAATTATGTAGGAATTTACCAAACTGCTACAAATAGTTAAAAATTTTAATTTTGCTATGAAATACCAACTCAGTAAGCCAAAAACGGTAATGTGCAATAAATTATCCATTATCCATAGTCTGAAATAAACAAAAATAAAATATTGGAGTAGTTTTATTGTAACACGTTTCTAATAATATGGTGCTACATGAAAATAGGAAGTAGGAAATGCCATTCTAAGAAAAAATGTTCTTATAAACAACATTTAGTGTACAAATGCTACATAACAAAAGTGTACAGCAAAAACATATTTTTTTAATTTCAAAGTTTCATCGTTAAATAATAGTTTTATGAAACAGCATCTTAGAAGATGCATCAAAAGATATTGGATATTGATAGTCTGCATCTCGTCCGGAAAACTAGCAATGAAATTTTTTATGATACATTTTAGTACAAAGGGAAAATGAGAAGTGCCTTAAATTTATTTCAAACTTTACCAATACATTATTTAATACCAATTAAAATAAAAACAAAGCTGATCGGCACTAAAATTATTTTTTAGGTATTAGTTTCAACAGACCTTGATCAGTCTTTTTAGAATTTCTAATACCTCCTACTGACACTTAATAATTTTGTTAATATGTTTTTTATTGTTGAATATTCTGTATATAAAATTTAGAAATAAGAAACACTTAAAAATGATATTCTCATAAATTTACAAACGAAATGTTTCCGCTCTTGAATAGTGAGGTACAATGTACTTACATCATTGTGATTCTAAATCCCTTTTCTCTGTTAAAATCTTTGTGAAATAATAACCTGGAGGTTGCTATTTTCGCTTTAAGGTAATACCCATATACATCTTCAAAGTTGACATCTAAATAGTGAGCAAACGAAAAAGTTTTAATTTCGGATTCCTCTATATATTTTTGTAAAGCTTTACTCTTTTCATTTTTGAACTTCCATGTATTTCGCATAAAATATATTAGCGCCATATTCGCCACATATATTTTTCGCTGAATTTTTACGAACCTAAAAAATAAATGCATTATTAACGTTGTTGTAATTTTTTAAAACATATTTATTGCAAATTAAATTCCAGTAGAGGGAGGCAGCACTAGAAGCACTAGATACGCAAAAAGAAAATAAAATATTAAATCTTACGGTAGACTTCAACCACATTATTTTCTTAAAGTAAAAAGTGCAGAGTTTCATGAAGTATGTGAAGTGTTGAAGAGACTATCTTTTTTTGTTTGGACGTTATCGACGAAAAACTGAACATTTTTATTTTATTTATTTTTTTTGTCAAGGGATCCAGTGCAATACGCTTTTAAGGGTTTTAGAAATTGAATAATTTCTTTATACATTATGAAGGGATCAGTTCACGTCTGGCACCCTTGTTCCTACAAACATTCCTTTATTCTCAACTATTTATTTTAAATGTAATTTATTATAAATCCAATTTGTTTTTTAATTTCCACATATGTACTACATTTTACTTCTGTACGCGCCACTGTTGTTTACTTGTTTTTTGGAGGCGCTCTCTGGTTTACGACCAAGCTCGCCAGGTTAGTATTTGACGTATAACCGACCACTTCGTACACTCGATGCACCTAGGCGACTACAGCTACCACCAAAACACAGTGCGTATGCAGCGGTATTTCAGATTTTACATCCAATTTCATTTTAGATTTGAAATGGTCCATCTTACGCTTCCTAAAAATGATGACACGGTTTTCCTTTCATAAAAGACAGACAACTGTTTGCTCTACTTTGCATCGAATACGATCCTATTATAGTTCGTGTATAATTCGATGATAAAAGGTTTTGAATAAAGAATATTTAGAAAAGCAGATCAATGTCACGAGGTGTGACACGACGACTTTTGGTCAGAACTATATGGGGGATAAACATAAAATGCCTGATGTAACATTTGTCTACAGATGTTATTTTCTCCTCAATGAAAATACGGGCGTTTTTTAAGTAGGAGCTGAACCAAGCAATGTGGCGTTCATTAAGGCCTACCCACCTGTTGGGAAATTTACTGTTCAGATAATATTACACTTTATGTCTGAATGAGGTGAAGCACTTTTGTGTTAACATTACTTGAATTGCCTTATATTTAAGTAAAGTGTCAATATCGGTTCTTGTTGCTGGTTCTAAGGCCGCTATGGACGAAATGGCTCTTCAGAAAATGAGACCTCGTCACCGCTTTTGTAGCGAATGTACGGTGGTTTCATTTGCGTTAGTACAGCTGTGCGCGGTTCTACACCTGCGCAGTAGGATGATGGGTGTGGTCTCACATTCATCTTCGGTACCGTTAGAACCGTTGCGTAGGCTTTTAGGCCCTGGCAGTAGTGTATCATGTCGTTGTTTGTCTTTAGAAGAGATAAGCAGGTTTTACCCGAAAACCTTCAAATTATGTGGATTTTTCGACTTATAAAGCTTCCCGTCTCACCAGGTTGCATCATTCTCACAAATGTCTCGGTGTCTTTGATTTATTGTAGTCCTTCATCTAATCTGTGTTTGGTAATGACTGATGTTTTAGGCCTATTGAGGCTTTCTTCTTGTAATCTTTTTGCCACTCTTAAATAATCGTTCCCACATTCATATGGTTAACCAGGGGTGAACAAGAGTCCTTCTCCGAGAAAATATTCAAATCTCAAAATGGCCGAAAAAATTAGCTTTTATTTTTTTTCACGAAAACGGTTAAACTTAGAAATTTGAATTTTGGTTTACGTTAACAACTAGTTGAATGGCAATTTTCGGTAATTTTTTTTTCTGGTTTATGTCTGAATGAAAGAAATTAGCACCCCTTGGTCTTATTTCTCTCACAACTTTTTTCTACATTAGCCAGTTCCAACAAGAAAAATAGCTTTTAATACTACATTTCATTTAGAAACTTTTTTATTCTTCACATTTTTTCGTATACTTATTGGTTTACGAGCAAAAAAATTGTTTCCTTGCCGATTAGGTACACATAATTAGTAAAACAGTTACCAAAAAAAGATCGACATGATTTTTGCAAAAATTCTCTTTTTATCAGTAGGAAAGACTAANTTAATGGTTTACGAGCAAAAAAATTGTTTCCTTGCCGATTAGGTACACATAATTAGTAAAACAGTTACCAAAAAAAGATCGACATGATTTTTGCAAAAATTCTCTTTTTGTCAGTAGGAAAGACTAAGTAAATATGAACTAAATATTTAATAAACAAATTAAAGCTTTCGGCCATTTTGAGATTTGAATATTTTCTCAGGTGGGGTTCAAATCGAAGAAATGTATTGGAAGTACCCACCCCCCCCTAAAATTACTTTTGAAACACCTCCTTAAAATATTTGCACATCATTATGAAACGCCCTTTATAATGACCGATTTGAAAAATTATTTATTACATTGTGAGTAAAAGTTGCCTCATCAGTCACTAGAACTAATTTGATGAAATTTGCTGCGCGTGTGTTTCGCTGTAAACTATTCATAAAAATGCACCCTTTTAGGACGATCTTGAGGTATTACAGCTATATTTGATATGAATAAAGTTGATTTTTATTAAAGTAGTCAACTAGTCAGTATGAGACGCTATCGCTGCTTGTGATATGTATTATACATTTTTTTAGCAAACATTTATACTTTTACTTTACATAAAAATATTCGTTATGTTAAAAGACAAATAGATAAAAATCTGATCAGATGAAGTGATAAAGGTTCTATAAAACGTATATCTAATTATTAATTATCTAAAATAAAAATAAAAAAATAAAATATAGGAACATTAAGAATGAAAAAAAAAAATAATAAAAAATGTATATATCGGACATTTTTAAATAATTAAATAATAACGTAAACTTTCAGAGAATATCTCGTTTCTAAAATCAGGTGTTTGACAAAAATGAACCTGCATCTAATTCTGCATTTTGAGGATTGCTTTTTCTAATGGTCGGTTTTAAGGATTTCATTTGTTGATAATTTTAATAACATTTTTAAACTTGAATTAGCTACATAATTTGTCAAAATGTATTTACTTACATCGGTTTTGCCCCTGCAGCCTTTAGGAAACCATCAGCAACCATCGCCGGTACCATGTGATATAAAAGAAAAAGGAAATAATATTTGTACCAGTTATTTGTCATGGAAAACGAAGGGTACCAAAATAAATTTGAATATGGTGCATCCCAGGTTAAATTTGCTCCTAACTCAATTAAGTTTTTGGTTTTTACGATTTTGGTGCTATCATCAGCAGTAGCATTGTATACTGGTACCTCATTTAGATCACTGAAATAATTTTAAAGATAATTTGAAATATAGTCTCAATTACAATAGTAGATAATAACAGCGCCAGCGGTTCGATTTATTTATTGTTATTGAAGTGAAGTGAACAATAGCTTAAGAAAATGTATTTTAGATCTTTTTACAAAACTTTTTATTTCACTTCATTTCACATAACACAGGCGCACAAAAAAATATCAAGACCCAGAGTGTAGACCCCCCTATCCCTCCGTTTTTGGGGTCGCTGAAACCGAGTGACAATTAAAAAAAATTTAATTAGCCATTCCTACATTACCACCCCCATACACTCCCTTGTGGAAGTTGAAATGTCAATTCTCATACAAAGTCGAGTGGGTTGTGTATGCCTACATTTTCTAGGTTGCTGAAAATAAAGAAGACTATAGAAAATGAAACCAAACCCCTCGTCAACCCTCAGCACCCTTTTGCCACCCACATTTGTTTTCAGCAGTCTAACACTAAAAATTTGGGATTATTCCCTTCTACAGTTTTCAAAATATTTGAAAAACAATTTTTATTTTCAATTTTTCACCACCCTGTATCTCACCAAGGGAGCACTTTGGACAAAAATTTTACAATGGTGGGAGTCCTGACAGGGATTTAAGTTTATCTAGTAAGAATTGAAGACCCTTTATCCCCGAAATATGGAGAAGGGAAAATACCCCTATCCATCTTTTGGAACACTGCGCAGCCTTCGGGAGGTTATAGGCGAGCGGTTCACCCCTAAAAAAAAGTATGAACCGACTAAATTTTTAAAACAAAAACCTACAGCATGAATCTTTTTTTATTTTATAATGTGTATTTTTCTGATAATTTACATATATTTTTTATATTTTTCGGCGTGGTCAGTCAATTGTTATAAACAAAAAAGTTGTAAAAAAAATTACTCGCCGAATGACTTTGAAAACAGATTTTTGGATGGAAATGGATCAAAATAAACACTTTTTGTTCTTTGACAAAAATTCGAAAAATGCTTCGTTTCCGAGATATTTACAATTTAATGTGAAAAAAGTGACGAAATCGACAAAATTTCGGAATTTTTTTCTCAAAAACCACTGAACAGATTTTAATTCTAAAAAAAGCATAATAATCGGCAGATATTCTACTTTAAGATATATTTTTTTGGTATGAGTAAATTATTTTATTGAAGGTCTACAGCGAGTAAAAAAAAGTCTTAAAAAAAATTATGTTAACACTTGAAATTTAAATTTTCTCTTTACAATATCTTGGATTACATTATATTTACAATGAACATTATTATGATTTTTTAAATATATTAACAGTACAAATGTTCAAAAGATCATTTTGTTTGGTTTTGTAGCCGGAGAAAGGTTTTTGCAAGTAATTAGTAAAATTTAAATATTCGATTTTTGGTTTTATAAATGGCTAAAACTGACTTGAAAGTTATACCAAAATTAAACTAAATACGTTTTTTAAAACGTAAAATTAACCTAATAATAATAATTGACCTAGCGGTCTCGAAAAATAAAAAGTTACCTATTGGATAATTTATTGTATAGGATAATTATTTTATATTTATTTTACAAAAATATTAAGAGCAATAAAAGTATATTAATTTCTTTTTTATTTAATTTTTAAATAATAAGTTTTTCGTTGTTTTCGACAAGTTCTTGAGTTGAAATAAGCGTTTCATCATCAATTTCGGATAGAACATTCTGACATTCATCTGAGCACTCACAGACTGCACAGCATTCCAGGTTCGATGACAAACAGTTACAATTTTTCGTAGAACATTTTCCACTACATGAACTTTTATTTTATACTTGACGAACAGGCTAGAGTTTAATTATTATTATTTTTTTTTAGTATAATCAAATAGTACCTATAATTGTTTAAAATATTGTAACAGTAATAGTAATATAATCCTAATCATAAATAATAATTTTTGCAATAAAAAAAACATAAAAATAATTGCAAAAATTATATTTAATCATTATAAATGTAGGAAAAATTATGGTTATTTCCGCATTAGCCGATTGAATAAATAAATGTTATTGTCATATATCGATTAAAAATATCCTAATAACATTATGTTTACTGTAAATATAATCTAGTCCAAGATATTGTAAAAAGAAAATTTGAATTTGAAGTGTTTTGCGCGCGACGTAGCGCCACTGACGCCGCCATTTTGATGCGTATGTTTATCAAGATTTTCTTTAAAACACTGTTTTTTACTCGCTTTAGACCTTCAATAAAATAATTGACCTACACCAAAAAAATATATCTTAAAGTAGAAGATCTGTTGATTATTATGTTTTTTTTAGAATTAAACTCTGTTCAGTAGTTTTTGAGAAAAAAATTCCGAAATTTTATCGATTTCGTCACTTTTTTCACATTAAATCTCGGAAACGAAGCATTTTTCGAATTTTTGTCAAAGAACAAAAAGTGTTTATTTGGGTCCATTTTATTTTGAGAACCATTCGGCGAGCAATTTTTTTTACAACTTTTTTGTTTATAACAATTGACTGACCACACCAAAAATATGGAAATTATCAGAAAAATACACTTTATAACAGATGTTCAGTTGACCTGCGGCGCGGTCGTTGACGGCAGCGCGATGCTTGAGAAGAGAGAATCAGTTAATCCAGAACCACCGGCGAGTCGTCACGTGTTTTCCGCGTAAAGACTATACTTTCCATAACTATAAACTTATAAACTTTGTAACCTTAAATAAACAAATAAAAATCATGCAAATGGCATAACTTTATAAAATAAAATTTCATGCTGTAGGTTTCTGTTTTAAAAATTGAGTCGGTTACCTTCATTTAGAAGCATCTTTTTAGGGGTGAACCGCTCGCCTATTAAGGCATAAAGTCTTTGGTACTGAAGAATTGCCAGAGGATGAGGTAAGAGACTTGCCATGGATCAAAATCCTGGCGTTCGTCAGGGCCTTAGGTAAGTTCGAGAAGGGTTAGAGGCAGACAGTTGATAGGTAATGAAACGGTGGGCTACGCAAAAAGACTTGTGGTCTAATTGCCAGGCTGACACCGCCCCAATCCACTACTGCTACACTTTGCAGCATTGAGTAGTCTAGTCTATTTTCCAAGCACCGTCTGGATAAATGGTCTAAATTATTGTCGCCTACAAGCTTCTGAGGTTTTGATAATCGCGAAAAATTTCAAATCATCAGTATAAATATATAATAATAATAATAACGGCCTCAGAATGGAACCTTGAGGTAACCGAAAGGATCTGAAATTCAGTACATTTGAAGCCATTGTAAACATTGTACTGGTTTGTACGGATTAAATATGATTTAGGTAATTGCAAGAGTGAATTAGATAAACCTTTTTTAAATACGTAACCGGTTTGACAATATTTTATGATTAAGTCTATCGAATGTTTTCGAGAAATCCGTATTTTTATATCAGTTTGTGCATGCACGTCTAAGGATTCGGTAAGAAAGGTGTGAAGTAAATCGGTGTTCGTTGACACATCTGTTGTATGTGCACCGTACTTTTTATAACCTAATTTTAAATATGTAGCACCAAAAATATTTATATTATTTTAATGAACACTACGTTACATTATTATTTTATACCTAACAGCATTGATATTTACTGGGAGATGTAAAAAAATATAAATATTATGCTAATAATTTGTTGGGTTATATTATATATTTGGGACAGACCTAGTATCTTAAATAATTTGTATCCAATCCTATTTGGTCGCTGAGATGAGCAAACATGAAAAAGAGCACACTACATAAAAAAGTTAGTAGATCAAAAGGTGGGAACAAAAGTACAATCGAAAGAGAAAGGGAAAACCTTTAATACCTGCTACCCCTAAATGCAACCAAATGAAATAAGTTGAACTGTATGTACATTATTACGCGAGCGGTGTACCCCTAAAAAGACGCACAAAAAAACAAGTGGACCGACCACGGAGGGGGAGCAGGATGAAACCCTTTCTAATCGCAGTATTACGTTGTTGCGAATAAAAAATCTTACATTTTTCTGTATCGATGGTCAGTAATTTGCTATTATTTACCAATACAAACCTCACATTTAAATGAAAAATAAATTAATTTAATTTTGTTACAAGACATGCAAATTATAATATAACCAATGTGTTTCCATTCCAACTTTTTAAGTTTTCACAATTTTGCAAGTTGTAATAACAAATTACTGACCATCGATACAGAAAAATGTCATTAAGGTTTTTTCCACCGCTCGCCTATACGGCTGTATAACTTATACGTACTTAGATAATGTAGTTTTGTAGGTAATCAGAAGTAAAAACTTAACCAAGATGTCCACCGGAATGCAGTCCAATACAGTATTTTCATCTCCATAACTTATTTTTAATATACCTAAAAAGTAAGACTAAATGTATGTTAAATTTATTAATCTACCAAATCAGGGTGTAACTTTGAGTTGGGTCATAGTTTTACAGAGGCTTCCTTTGATCTTCAGAAACATGTAGCAATAATTTATTTTTTCAAATTCAGTCGTGAAGACTTAATTTTTTTTATCCTGTTTTTCGTAATTTTCTTACCTCGTCGCTGGACAAGCTAGTGTTAACTTGAAATTACGGCGCGTTTTAGTCACAGCATGCACAATCGAAAACTGGGCTGTGCATTGTTCTCAAATCTTATTTTTAAAGGAAATGTTGGTTATTAAAAAGCAAATTTCCACACCACTCGGCGTGAGGTTTGGCACGTTACTTTTATTGAGTTTGAGTGGGGGTTACTACGAGCTCTACCATCCTACAAAAACTAAAGTTCAATTCTCTTGAATAAGACAAACTATGAAACAATATTTAACAAGTAACCTAGCATCAAACTCAAGCAGTAATCAATAATGATAAATGAAATACACAAAATAAATAATCCGTTTATTCACCTAATTTCTATAACATAACACTTAAGTGTTTGTGGCAAATGTTCGAATACTGGTACCAGTATTTACACCATGGCATTTAAAATTTCTGGTTTAAAGATCCCACAGTCTCTTAAATGTTGAACCAATCTGACAAACATTTTCTTATCCAGTACTTATAAGTAGACTTAGTTTAACAGGACCGTAGTCGGATTACGAATGAAAATATTACTATGTTTACAGAAAATATGTCACAACATAGTACTATTACCAAAGAACAAGACTAAGTAGAGGATAAAATACCTATATTAATTTAAATAACACCACTTACTCGATAAACCTTTGTGTTGAGTCTAGGCTTATTGGAAGGAGTTAAAACATATACGTAGTAATATGCTTTTCTAAGTTTCCTTTAGTGAAACGGCGACGTTTATCACTTAATATTAACTTGTGTAGGGAAAATCTCCGCTCAACGTCTACTGTTGACAACGGACAGTATGAGAAATTATTGAGGCATGAACTATATATTAATACAGTTGTTGGTACCTCCTGATATGTACCAGATGAAACTTCGCATATGTTTTCCAAATTGGTATATCCTGGATTTCTTTCCAACACTCTTTGCATTGTTTCTTTTATCGTACTACCGACTAACTACTATACGTACATTATTGGCATCGGATATATTTCTTTGTATATCATGTATTACATCAAATTATTCATTTATGGATAGTCCATGAGATTCCAATTTACGAAATTACGGAACTTGGGGTTCTCTAGTTTGTTTAATAGAATATTGCTTGAAAGAAAGGCGTTTGTAAATTCATAGTCTTCAGCGCTGGACGAGGCATGGCTATTCAAATGTCTTACCACTTTAGTTTTGTCACAAGAATTTATAATGCGTTCACACACAGTACAAAACAGGTCATTTCCTTTAATACGTAATAGTTGTTAATGTAAATTATGTTACTATTTATAAATAGCTATTTAAATACACACAGTGAATACAATTTACAGCAGACGTAAAAAAGAAAGGTATCGACACGACACCAACAAGATTGCATAAATAACTGAACAGTTCAAAACGCGGGTCAGCTGTGAAGGCCACCGACCCCAGCGCTGCCTTTTAGACTCTGCACGTGTATTAAGCCTAATCGTAAGCGTAATCTATCTGATATCGTTTTCTCTGCTCCTGACAAAAAGTAGGCTTTAACTATAACCATTTCTTGATTCGTACACATGCTTTTTCATAATGTACAAAAACTAGAAATTAAAACACAAAATTTCACTCTATCGTCACTGAACACTGAAATAAATAACTTCATAAGATTATACGCCAATGAATCCAATCGAAATAGCGCAGTCTTCGGCCATTCCTGTTTTATTTTAATTATTTTACATTGTCACAGCCCACAATGTAGATTAATTTAAAAACAACTGGCAATGTTGATAGTGCACAAACACAACTTCACACACAAATTCGGGGAGCCCCAGTTTACGTTGCTCAGTGGCGGCGTACACAAGAATTAAAAGAGACTAATTAGAACTCGACTATTTATTACATTGAAAAAAAATAATTTCGCATTCGTGTTCAGGGGAACACGTACTATGACCTCTAAAAAACTAACCCCCACTTAAAGTCATGCCCTGTATACAGGGTGTTAATGAACTTATATCAAAAATTTAAAGAGGTGAAAAGAAGCAAAAACTGAAGTTAACTGATTTCACAAACTTGTATCGGAAGTTTAAGGTCATGGAGAAAAAAGTTAATTAAAAATGTGTTTAAAACTGTTTTAGAACTGCTGAAATACATGTATTTTATCGCGGCGAGAATTTACAAAAGATTATGTAATACTTTTTATGAGTTTGTAGGTTTCTTATGAAGCCGGATTGTATTCGAAAGTCAGTTTGTAATACATTATTGTAGTGATTGCTGTGCTGTTTTTCGAGAGTACAATGAATAGCCGCATTTCCAAGTTTTCTTTGAAAATGGCGCATTTATTTAGCAATCGCAAATATTACGATATGCTCATAATTTATGGCGTAGCAAACAAAAATGCCCACAGAGTACCGTGCAAGATATCCTGGACCCCGCTGAAGTACAACCGTGTCGATGTCGCAACGATGACTCTGGGCGACTACTAAGAATCTTAAATGTCGAGGAGATCGCAAGTAAATATTTCGCATCCTGTTATGTGGCGGACATTACGAGAAGCTCAGTTCTACCAATTTCATGTTCAACGTGTTCAAGCGCTTACCTCTAAGGATTTTCCACTACGTCGAGGTTTTTGTGAATGGTTGTCATCCAACATCCAAGAAATTCTTAATTTACAGCGCAAATACTTGTTGCAGATGAACACCACCACTGGACTAAGTAACGAAAATTCACACGAAATACGTCGCGGTACCTTTCAGCAACAGTTTTCAGTGAACATGTGGTCCGGTATCGTTAATGACACTTTAATAGGATCTTTCGAATTGCCTAGACGATTAGACGGCACTTCATATCTAGATTTTTTACAAAATCGCTTGTCGGAGTTATCGGAAGACGTGCCATTAAATGTTCGGCAAAATATGTGGTTACTGCATGATGGAGCCCCCGCTCACTTTTTTCGGAGAGTGTGCGACATTCTAAACATCGCTGGATAGACCGTGGCAGCCTAGTTAGATACCCCCCGGTCCCCGGATCTCACCACATTAGTCTTCTTTTTGTAGGGATACGTGAAAAATGTTGTGTATTCTACGGAATTTCGTGACATTGACCAACTGCCGAAACTTGCAATACGATTCGAGAGGACGTGACAATGTTGCAACGCGTGCGAGCGAATTGGATACATCGCGCTGAAGCTTGTGTGTAAGCAAATGGTGGACACATCGAACATCCTCTATGAAAATCAGCAGTGTTCCAAAGGTGGCTCCCTGCAATGCCGAGGTAAGTCAGATTTTAAAATTACATTTTACTCGATACAAATCCGTGTATTTACCTCATTTTGACATAACGGACATGTGGCAAAAATATTTGATATAGGTTCATTAATACCCTGTTATACATTATATACGTAATAATTGTATTAGTTAGAAACCAATTCTGCTAATTTATATATGCTGTTCAGTGAAATACGTTTCTTTTATTACTGTTGACAATCCCCATGTATTGCTAATATTAATAGTAAAGGAAAAAGATAAATATTATTTCACCTTTTCCTCCAGCACTGAGTAGACCTAACGGACCATTGAAGTTATCTACCCAACCAACCATTGGATCGTCTATGGAAGGAATAACTGCAATTCAAATATTAACAATTTACTTTAAGTGAAGGTCGATTATATGAGGCGTCCAATCCGAAGGTATCACTTATTCGCTATGTATTTCTACGTGTACAAGAATTTAAAACATAAAAGTTCCCCCTTTCTCGTTATTATTCGTCTATGCTGGTCCATAGTATGTCCACTTGTTCAAATATACACAGTGACAATAAAAAAAAACGTTACAAACTTTAATACGTGTGTTAGAACGTATTAAAGTAGTGTATCGTACCCAATGCATTTTTGTTTTGTCGGGTTCTTCTTCCTTTTCTGTATGTATTTTCGAATTCAACTGTTTAAATGTTTTATGGCTTTAGAATGTCAGATAAACGTAGTGCAATTGTGCGGCTTTTTTTTAGTCATGATGGTCGCCGTCTAGGAAGTGGGTGAAAACGCATCGTTAACACGTCCAAGAACAGAAAGATCATCAAGGAGCGAGTGCAACGAAATTCGAGGGTCTCCATACGGAGATTCGACCGTAAAACCGAAATGAATCTGAAATCGGTGTCAAATGGTGAAAAGGAAGCTAGGACTTAAGCCGTACATACTCCAAAAGTTCAACTCTTTACGGACGAGAACAAGCGCGTGCGCTTGCACCAACTCAAGCAGAGGGCCGCAGGTACTGGCTGGGAAACCATCCTCGTCACGGATGAGGAGCTGTTCACCATGGAACAAGCCCATAATCGTCAAAATGACAGGAATTGGTCAGCAGATACTCCCAGACCATCTGCCATCGTCAAACGCCGTCAAAACCTCCAATCGCTGATGGTTTGGGGCCAGCGGCAAAACCCCTTTGATTTTCCTTGAGCAGGAGGTTCAAAATCGACAAGAAGGAATACCGCCGACAGTAGCACTTCGACGGTGCAGATTGGGCGTTCCAACATGACTCCGCGTCGGCTCACAAAGCGGAAACGACGCAGGACTGGTGCAAGGTCCATTTTCTGGACATCATTACCTCAGCGGATTGGTATCCCTACTCGCCGGATCTCAACCCGATAGATTACAGTGATCTGTTTTGGAGGATAGGGTCTGTGTAAAACGTCACAAAAGTTTGAAGGCACTGGAACAATTACTGCGTCGGGAGTGGGACCGATTGTCGTCGGAGAAGCTGTGACCCAAAATTTCAAGACGCTTTTGGAGCGGCTCTGTATCGCCGCCAAATACCCTCCATATTTCGAAACCAATTGAATATATTGTTGCCAAAGATATTTGTTACTGTTGACCGTTGCTGTTTTGCTATTTTTTTTTGTTCAATAAAATTATGATTAATGACATTTGTAAAGTTTTTTTTATACGACTGCCTTGCAAAAGGGGGTATTGCGCACGGAAAACACGCTCTGAAAACGATATTTTGCACACGCCGTGTGCTAAACATTTTGCACACGGTTATGTCATCTTTGCACACGCGTCTCCAGATTGTGATTTTTGTTTGATGTTGTCACCCAAATTATGCAATGTTTCAAGTTGGCTGAGTTTCATAGCAACCGTCACGGCTCCTTTATTTTGTTGATTAGATACTTCAAAAATTGTTGAATTCCCGAAGTTTGGGTGTGAAAATGTGTGATTCTGAAGAGATTTTACAGAAAGCAAGCGAAATATGTTCGGAACTGCTGCCCACAAAATCCAGAAGCAGGTATGAAGCTGAGTTAAGCCGATTTATAGACTGGCGACTAGCCAAAAATGTCCTAACTTTCTCAGAAAACGCAGTAATGGTGTATTTTGAAGAACTATCTAAGAAATATAAATCTTCGACGTTGTGGACGATTTTTTCGATGCTCAAGTCAACGTTAAGTGCCAATCACAACATAGATCTTGGATTCTATAAAAAGATGCAAGCGCTCAAACGAAAATCCGTAAACTACGTCCCAAAGAAGTCCCAAATCCTCGCAGAAGATGATTTTTGCCGGTTTTTGACGAAAGCATCATATGACAAATATTTACTTATCAAGGCGGTGGTGGCAGTTGGACTATCTGGGGCATGTCGAAGGGAGGAATTATGTTATCTCAAAATAGAAGACACCAAAGATTTCGGCAGTGCTATGCTGATTAAACTGAAGAATACAAAAACAAAGGTACCAAGGTATTTTACAATTACAAGAAACCTTTACACTACCTTAAAAAAGTACTGTGCTCTTCGTCCTCCTAATCTGGACAGGCAGGTTTTTTTTAAACTATCAAAACGGAAAATGTTCAAGCCAAAACGTTGGCATCAACAAAATTGGAAACACGGCTAGGGAAATCGCCAAGTTTTTGATGCTAGAGAATCCAGAAAGTTACACGGGACATTGTTTTCGGCGTTCATCGGCCACAATTTTAGTCAATTCTGGCTCAAATCTGGTTGCCCTCAAACGCCATGGAAGGTGGAAATCCAGTACAGTTGCCGAAGGCTACGTTGATGACTGTTTGGGAAATAAAATGGAAGTTTCGAAAAAGATAGAGTCTTCAGTGTCTTCTGCTGCCACAGAACCAGAACAACGATCGTCTACTGGAATACAACAAGAAAACAACGACCGCACGCTGAAAAACTGCACTAAAAACACGACACCAAAAATATTCTCTATTACCGAAAACAAGGTGCACAATAATACTGCTTTTCCCAGCGTAACCTTGAAGGAATGTTCAAATGTTACCATAAAATATTAAATATTAGTTTCTTTTGTTAATGCGTTAGCAATTTTCTTAATAAAAACGAGTTAAATTAAAAGTTGTATTTAAATTTATTTTGTTAATGCGTTGGCAATTTTAGTAATAAAAACGATTTAAATTAAAATTTGATTTTTGTGGTCTCTGTTTGCAGTCGTATAAAAAGTATCGTAAAAAACTCGTTTGAAAACCTCTTTGCACACTCGCTCGACTTGTGGGCCTCACCTTCGGCTCGATCCACCAATATGTCTCGCTCGTGTGCAAACAGTCGTTTTCAAACCTTGTTGTTTAATATACTATTATTGCATTTTTGTTGCGTATATGGTTACGGAAGAAAGTGATACCTTCGGATTCGAAGGCTCATATACAAATGTAACGATCGAGGTACATTTAAGGTAAGTTTGTTTAATCGTTCAATTATATTTTTGCTCTTTATATCTATTATGTCAATAACCTACCCCTTTTCCATCTGTATTCCAGCTCTTGCTGGAATACAGTACGAAAGTGTGTTCTTTCTCTCGTAGAATAACTATTTCGATAGCAAGAATTACAAATGGCACGTATAATTTTCTAACCCGATTGTCTGGAAGTACTTACCAATTGAAGGCCTTACAATCGTTGCAAGTAGTTTCCCTTTGCACAAATCATTGACGACGTGTTCAGATAAAGATTTTGCAAACGTGTAAGTATTCGGTAAAGGATGAATATATTGCGGTGAAAAAATATTTAAAGTGTGTTGATCAATTTGTTCAGCCAGTGCTATAGTACTTCTCCAGTCAGCATGTGGGGGATATAACTTTTCGTCTATTTCGATTCTATCGGAATTACAATACGAAGTTGATATATGCACCAACGTTATCAACTTTTTTGCTTGCAGTGCTATGTCTACTACTTCTTTAGTTCCTCTTGTGTTCAGCAGTACTCCTTCTTTCAGATGATCATCAAATCTAACTGAAGCTGCTGCATGGTAAATAATATCTACGTTTTCAGTAAGAATTTTGGTGTCTTCCTCCGTTAAACCTAAAAATTGTTTAACATAATTCATTTTCGTTAGTGTTATGGTCCAACAACGACGATGACTTCTTTAATTTAAGTAATTTATGACTTAAACTAGCTATCTCTTTTTATGTATAGCTGCCACTGATAGACATATTTGTATACCAGCGAATTTTTACTTTTAATTAGTTAAATTTCAAGTTTCATCAGTATGTGTAAAACATACATGGTATTTTTCTTTTTATTTCTATTTTGAAAACTAATACCTTTGATTGGTTGAGACTTTTTGACCAAATATAATCTAAGGCACTTGACACTTTTAAGCATTAACTACTTATATACGATTGGGCATTCAGCCCCCTGGATATTTTAATAAAATAAATAAATAAAAATAATAACTAAGCGAATTCATCTTAAATTTCTGAGGCTTTTCACGTTTAGCGAATTTTGACAGAAGTATTTTTCTATGTAGAATTAAAAAGCGATTGGCCAATTTTGACAATAACAATTTTTATATAGAGTTAAGAACATCAGAATCCTAATACTTTAAGAATTACAAAAATAAATCTAATGATGACCGATTTATTATTTAGGTTATAATAATATATTCCTATATTTTTTTAATTTAACATTTGTTAATGATTTATGGTCTGTATTGGTATAAAATTAACAATTTACCTTAATTGTCCGAATGGCAGGCTCACAATTTGTTAAAAGTTTGGTTTTAAAAGGTTTGTTGTTAAAAGCCGTCTTCAGATGATGCGACCACTTGCCGAATGTATACAGGGTGAGTCAACGCTGTGACAAAGTTGATTTATCGCTAGAAATGCACATTTTAAAAATAATTTGACTTATTCGTTTTCGGAGGGCTGACCAAAGTTGTATTTTTTTAAATGGGATGTAGGATATTTATATTTTACATAGAATTATGCAACTTTTTCGTAAGGTACTATGTGTCAAAAAATATTTTAATATAAAAAATGAAATTTTTGGCGTTACATTTGTTACACATATTGTACTAGGTTCACCGTAAATTCTGAAGTGGTTACTGCTTAAATAAATGTCATACAGCGTGTTCACAAAATCGTAACGAATGTTATATTTTTCAAAGGCAGAAATTTTGTTTTTTTTAACGGGATGTGACAGACCTTCTCAAAATCTACAACTTTCATAATAATAGATGTTATATATCAGTTCCTCATATTTCAAGATATTTTTCCCAATTTCTTTATTTTTCATTTTTTTTACCATAAATAGCGTCGACGTACTAGGGCTAAAAGTTGAAGCAATGAAAATGTGTCTTTACATTTTGCAGAAGAGAACTGTGATCCTAAATGATGCAGCTTTCTTATTCCTATTGAATTTTTAGTGAACGAGACAACTTTTAAATATATATTTATTGATAAAACAAAGTTTTACTAAGTGTTGCAATAGATGTTCAAAAATATTTCTTCTTTCTTGAATACATAAGTTAATTCGGCGAAGGATATCAATGTGTATTTCATGTAGCATTTCTGGTGTAATATCAAGACAAGCTTGTCTTATTCTATTTATCATATCGTCACGAGTATTGGTAGCTCTCTATATACCCAGTCTTTTACAAACCCCCACAAAAAAAAGTCAAGTGGCGTAAGGTCATATGATCTAGGAGGTCATGACAGTGGACCACCTCGACCAATCCACCTATTAGGATAAATTTCATCAAGATAGGCTCGGCTTCTTGTCTTAAGAAATACATTACGATCAACTATTTGAATCACTAAAAAACGCTACTTCAACAGTTAAAGATTATTGACAGTTGCAAACATTTCATTTGTTTCACTGCTATATCAATGCCTCCCTAGGATATTTTCATAAAAAATAAAGAAATTGAAAAAATATCGTAAAATATAAGGAACTGAGAACCTATTATGAAAGTTGTAGATTTTGAGAAGGTCTTTCACATTCTGTTAAAAAATGCAGGGTGTTCCATATGAAAAAAACAAATTTTTTGCCTTTGAAAAAGATAATATTAGATACGATTTTATGAACACTCTGTGTGACATTTATAAACAGTGACCACTTCAGAATTTACAGTGAACCTAGTACAATATGTGTAACGATTGCTTAGATTGTATCTCAAAAAACGAATGTAAGCCTAAAATGTAATTATTTATACTAAGATATTAATATCTCGGCTGATTTTTTGCACGTAGTACCTATTACAAAAAAATTACATAATTCCATGTAAAATATAAATATTCACTCAAATAAAGGGTGATCTATTTAAAAAAATACAACTTTGGTCAGCCCTCCGAAAACGAATCACCCTATATAAGTCAATTTATTTTTAAAGTGGGCATTTCTTGCCCCCCCCCCACCCGAACCTATTTTAAAATATTTTGCCTCAATTATATTCTAGCGATAAATCAACTTTGCCACAGCGTTGACCCACCCTGTACAAATGCAGTATGATGTGGACGACTCAATGGTTGGGCACGCGAACATTTGTGTAGATTTGCCAGAGTAATTACTTATATTTGTCTAACGCTAACAAATGGCCTATCGTGTGTATGGTACTCGTCGATACATCCAAAAGCAAGTCTTCGCATGCCAAATATTTTCCAGACACGTTTTGACTTTTCAACAAGTGAATGTTAATCGCTCACGGGACGATAGTCGATAAGTACAAATACATCAAAGAAACCGAATCATGTGAAGCCGGCTTTAACCACATAATATTAAACACTTACTACTAAAATTGTACATACCAAGTTTGGGTTTTGATACGTCTCCACATATCGGTATCAGTTTCTTAAGAGCTGCAGGATTAATCTTCTTTAAAGTATCGAACAACTAAAAAATAGATATACCTAATAGTGATAAAACCATTTTGTTAAGAAATTATAACAATATTAATCAAATATGCTTGACGAATTAGATTTTTTTTATTCTAAAATTTTCTTGGTTGGTTCTGATGTCTGTAGAAATTGTTCCAAATAATTATTTATTAAGCATTAAACTAATTCAAATTAGTATTTAGGACGTTTCTAAATTATTACCAAACGAATCATCAGCATCATCAAACGAATTTGTTTATAGTGTACGAAAGTCACATGTTCTATTTCTTTCTTTCATGTACTTGGATGCTTAGATATTGTTCTACACTGTTATTAGAAGCCTATGGACATTTCTAGTTTTTGAAGGTTTTTGTAATTTTGTTAATGTGAAACGTAGCTTGAATATAAAATGGTGTGTCTACATGTCTATGGTGACGTATTTTGAGAGAAATGCTAACAAAATCTTTGGATATATTGGCTTTCTATCGTTTCTCTAATAATTCAGAGCTGTTAGAGCGTAAATATCTTCACATCATTCATTTTTTATCTGTTTATATACAGAGTGTTTCGCATAAGAACCGATACGGAGAAGGGGCATGTAGGGAAACCCTTGAGAAGTTATAGACCTCGAAAGTGAGGTTTTAAATTTCGAAAATAATCAATATCTCAGTTATACAATCATGAGCTTGAAAATTTTGTACACGGTGTGAGTGTAGTGAGCATTATTCGACAGTAAGTAGAGTTCAATTGAAGCATTTTAAAGGGTTGATAAGGGATGATGGATGAACTATTAAAATGTGACAGAATTTTTAAACTGTTGGCGAACTTAATTACTACTTTATTTTGTGGGGAATTTAATTATAAAATTTCTTTTACTCTTGTTAATTTTCAAAAAACTTTATTGGTTTCAACAAAAACACGAATCACTAAAAATAATTGTAACTGTTATTTAGAATCAAACGAAAATTCAAAAGTGGGCCATGAATTTATACGTCAAACTTGACGATCAGGAATCTAATTTTAGTAATTATTGTTAGCTGAGTGTTAGGAAAACTACAGAAGAAGTATTGAAGAATATCGGAGAAGATTTTCAAATGGTAATACCCCGTAGAGAAACATTTTCTAATGTTGAAAAACGGACACGAGAAACAGCAAGTTTTTCAGTAATACTCGTGCCTTTGCAATCAGGGCACAAGCCGAAGAACTTATTGTGAAAACAATTGAATATAACCCACATATTAGTACAAGAATTCTATCTCGATAAACTGGTATATCACAAACTTCTGTGCATAACATATTCAAAAAGTGCAAGAATTGTTACGGAATGATTCGGTTAAACGAGTAAATCTGTCAGTTTATTTTACATCAAGGCATTAATTTTTAAAAGAAAATTTTCCTTACTGATGACGCTTGTTTCACCCGTAGAGATATTACAAATTTACATAACTATCATGAGTATTCGAATGTAAACCCTCATTCAGTCTGTAGCGGTACGCTACAATTACATTTAGTACCTGCCCCAATAAATATATTTTGCTTTCTGGGAATTTACGAGCCATATAAATTATACTTTGAATTATCACAGATTATCCCAAATAAATATATTTAGCAAATGAGATTAGAATAAGTAGGCTGTAAACATAAATTAGTTTTTGTTTATTAGGGTACATAAGCACAAACCGAGTAGGTAATGACCCGGATAAGTGTTAATTAGGATAGGGTAATAAAAGTAGGTACCTGGGGACAAGGATAAAACCGAAAACATTTCGAGGCACGAATGAGAAGTCTTGAAGCCTAGTTCCTGCTCGGTTGTGTCTCGTGTTACCAGCGAAATTAGTAGAATAAAGTTTTCCATGCTACTTAGAGTTTTTCTCCTCAC